GGCCGGCACCTGCGTTAAAACAGAAACGGAGGTGAAGGAAGTGGAACCTCTTACAAGGTTGCACGGAATATTCGAATATAATTAATTATATAAAACATGATCAAATTTTAAATCAATTTTTGAGAACCCTTCCCTTTTTGACTTTGGAATTCTTATTGTTAAAGATTATAAGAAAAGAGTTTTTTGTAAAAATGGGTGATTTAAATAATTCTAAAAAAAACGACAAAAGCACACATATTTCCGAAGGTAAATTTCATTTATTTTATTTAAAATTTTCGTAGTAATTAGAAAATATAATAATTTCATTCCTTTAATTTCATCAGATGAAGTTACAGAACAATTAAAATCGACAAAAAGAACGCTGTCTCATTCAGATACAGATCCATCTACCGAGAAAAAGAAAAAAACAAAAGAAAAGAAAAAGAAAATAAAACCTGTAGGGAGAAATAAGGGTGATTACATCATCATTTTAAATAAATAATACATTAATAAATTGTATTTTATAAGCTGATATTTAATCTGTTTTAACGTTAATAGGACCAATCGATTTGGATAAACAATGTGGTGTCGTTCAATATCCTAAGACTACTCCATGCACACGCTCATTGACTTGTAAAACTCATTCTGTTGGTTCAAAACGAGCCGTTCAAGGTCGTTCAAGGAGATACGATGAGTTACTCGCCGAACATCAAAAGAAAAAAGCTGCAGAACGTCCGCAAAGTGAGTCACGCATGCATATCCGATAATTATAATGATGATAATGATCAGATCATGATCTGATTATTGAAATTAACATTTTTATTTAACCTAATTTTTAGAAGAAGCTGCAATGTTAAATAATAGGCAGGATAATAAGATCGATGACTCGGAAAGAGATGTCCCTGTAATCGATTCAGATGCAGAAGTTGATGCCGTCATGGAAGCAACAATGTGTTATAAACCTCGACCTCTTGTCACGCGGCCCAATTACTATCTTCATATGCCACGGACAAGCGACTTTTTCAAGTATGACGAGTTATTGTTGCACTCCGACATTACAACTCCAGATACTTCTAATTAGTGATTGTGTAGTTGATTAAAAACTTACAAGCTTAGCCGAGTCGGTGATCTTCAAGTGTGACGAGTTATTGCACTCCGACATTACAACTCCAGATACTTCTAAATAGTGATTGTGGTCGATTAAACTTACAAGCTTAGCCGAGTCGATGATTTGATACGGCTAAGCCGGCTTAGTCGGTTATTATCTTAAATTAAATCTGCAATAATAAACTATAATCAGGGAACACTCGCTGGCCACACTCGTATTTTATGTTGTATAATGTTCTCGAAGTAAAAAAAAGTCTTTGCGTAAAGTTCATGTAACATTTATAAAGCGAAGCTGATCCAGAATGTGGCGATAAACGTAGCAGTCTATGACCATAGCTAGAGTTTGAAACCGGTTTTATTCTTCATATATTGAAACCGGTTTTAGCATACAAAAATAAAATTGGTTCCAAACTCTACCTATAGCTATCCCTCTTCGTATAATCTGCAACTAGGGATGTAAAATTACTGCAATTTTGCGTATTTTAATGTAATTTTGCTGTAAGTTTCGTAAATCAATTTTTCATGTAATTGTAATTTTGAACACATGACATTAAGTTTCTGAGATCAAATATTCG